CTAAAAACTAATCTACCTAACGTTACGTTCCTCCTACTAGTCGACTACTTCGTCTACTACTTACTTAGTACTACTACTCTCTCTAACTACTTATCTCTCTCTCTCTCTCTCTCTCTCTCTCTCTCTCTCTCTCTCTCTTTGGATCACCTCTCTCTGTCTGCAACTCTGCATACTAGGTTCTCAATCACTATCCATCTCTCTTCCACTATCTGGCCAGTCTCTCTCTATGTCTCTATCTCACCTATCTTTATATTCTCTCTTTTGCCTCTCTATCTACCTCTCTCTGTTTCTCGTTATCTCACTCCCCCATGTATCTCTCTCTATGTTTCTCCCTATCTCGCCTCTCTCTTGGGGACTATCTAGTCTCAATCTTCCTCGGCTCAATCTTCCTCTGTCTCTCTTGATCTCTCCTCCTTATATCCGTCTCTCTATTTGCCTCTCCATGTGCCACACTTTTATCTCACCCCTCTCGGCCTCTCCATATCTCTCCCTATCTAACCTCAGTGTTTTTCTCTATCATGTGACGCAGTGTCCTGTATCTCTCTGTCTCTCTCTCAACCCTCTCTGCCTATGGTTACCGCCCCCCCCCCCCATTTCCCTCAACGCTCTACCGACATAGAGGGTGAGGGAGCAAAAAATTTATAAAAAAAAATAGAGGGGGCCAAAAGCATACAAAGAAGTGCTACATTATATACATAGTGAGATGTACAAAAGAGAAATCTTACACGATTCTGAAGTCCAGGTAAGAAACAGGAGAAAGATTAAGAACAAGAGAGAGATGGTGAGACCCTTATATTAAGGAAGTGCCAGAGAGCAGAGAGAGAGATCCATCATGGAAGTGCAGAGTGAGAAAGAACGAGAGAAACGTACGTCGTGGAAGTGCAAAAAGAGGTGGAAAGAACGAGAGACCCTTCCATCATGGAAGTGCAGAGAGAGAGACTTTCAAGGTGGATGTGCATAGTGAGAGGGGGGGAAGCGAGGAGAGAGCTTTCCATTACAGTGGTTATGTACCAAAGATAAACAAAACGGACACAAGCAGCCAGGATAAAAGAGCCCCAAAAAAAACCAGTGGACAAGAGCTTTCCAAAACAATATAGTGCTGCACCCCAAAAAAACCAGCAGACAGGGGCAGCACGGAGACAGCCAGGATAAAAGAGGCCCAAAAGAAACCAGTGGACAAGAGCTCTCCAAAACAACATGGTGTTGCACCCCCAGAAAAACAACAGAAAGGAGCAGGGCAGCGCCGAGGAAGAAGCCCCATAAGAAAGTAAAGAGTGGGTATGGCTTCATAGCGGAAAAAAAAACGTGTAATGTTGCACCCCAAAAAAATGCCATATATACTCCCTATAGGGCCATATCCTCATCCATGAATCTGGGGCAGGACATGACCAGTGTGATAAGGCTAGTCCCGCCTTGTCCACTAGCAAGCTGCTAGGTAAAGAACAGGGGCGGCACCAGTTTCCACAACATGGTAATGAGAAGATAGGTCACTATGTGCAACCCGAACAACCCAATGTGCAGCCATGAGTTGCTCTAGCTGAGAGGTGAGACTAGTACCTCCTCTTTTAGGAGCCTTATCTCCTCATTTCATTTTCGGTTATTCGACTTCTCAAGTTCTAGTATCATGTTTAAATTCATGGTTTTCAGACCTCTGAGACTCATGTAACTTGGTACTCTCGTGAAGCCTCTCCTTGGCTGAGGTGTCCAAACCCACGGTCTTGACAAATTGATAAGCCTCCTCCGCATCAGACTGCTCGGCTGCCTTCTTCGTAAAGCACACCCCACCACTAAAGGACCTGTCCCATGCAGTAACAGTGGCTTTACAAACCCTACACCAAGGTGTACCAAATTCTGCAATTGAATAATTAGGAAGAAGGGACTTCTTCCTTTTGTGTTTCCTCTTGTGGCAAAAAATTTGTAAGAAATGTTCTCAAGATCTAGGGAAACGATCATTGTGGGAGGCGGGACGGACCCATTGTTTTAAAATACAGCCACATCATGCGGTATGCGCCAGGAGGCATCAAAAAAATGCACATGCACTTTTGTGGGATTCAGCTGCATAGCTCATCGCACCGCTATGCACCGCATCAGCATGACGGAAAAAAAAACCCTCAAAAAGAGGTATTTAGGTAACTTTTCCCCCAAAAAGGGGGGGAAAGTGTTTTTTTGGGGGGTTGGGGGTGGGGGGGTTTAAACCCCCCAAAACAGCAAAAACACCCACTTTCGTGGCTTTTTCTACATTAAATTGATTAAAAAAAAGAATGGCAGAAATTTTTTTGATGTTGAGCTAGCTGCAAGGGCTAATGAAAAAATATAGCCTAACACTAGAACACAAAACAGTAAAAGCTTGGTTCAGTCACCTGTTAGTTCCAAAGGTTGAGGTGGAGGATGAGGCTGACTCCGAGGAAGAAGAAGAATATGTGGAGGCCGCCGAGGTTGATATTGATGATTTAGAATAGAGACTTAGAAATGATGATGATTTCTCTTGACTTTTGAACTTTTCAATCTTCATAGACCTTTAGTTTGTAACTTTAAAGTTTGCAGTTGTGAATTTGTGATATAGTTGTTGAAGGTTTATGAATTATGATAATATGATGTCTTCTAAGTTCTATTATTTCTATGAAGTTGGTTTTAAGTTTCAAGTTTCTACTTTCTACTTTTTAGTTTAGTCTATGATCTTTGACAGCTGATACTTTTGGAGTTAATTAATAAATTAAATACCTACTATCACATAAATCACCTCCATATTTTTTTTCATGCATTAACCTTTCTTTTGAGATTTTTTAGAATTTTTTCGTATATATTGACCACATCAGTGTGATTGCCGCAATCCCTCACCCCCCCCCCCCCCCTTGACCGCATGGGGAACGCATTTTAAAACACCGGAGGGACCAATTGAAAGTGCGATATTTTGAGGTGCAGCCATAGGTGCCTAAAAAACCCCAAGGACGATAGGGGCTTCTAGATATGAATATCTACTGAGTATAACTGAAGCCCTGTGATATATGCAAAGGCAAGCAAATAACTCAGGGCAGGCCCTGACATACATGCAATAGAGAACATATACCACAGGGTAGAATAGAAAACTCTGGAAAATGACAATGATACAAAGAGTTGCAAATGAAAAGGTGAAAAAAAAAAATAACGTTATCCACAAGCATGGTAAGACAAACAAAAAAAACAACAATACCTAAACTTTAGAACATTAAAACATGCACAAGGCATGTTTAAAACCAGCGGACATGGGCCACATTCTAATCCACAGGGCAAGAGCCAGGGTCGGGCAAAAGCCCAACAATATAAAAAAACACAGGCAAAATGAAGGTCTATGAGCTACCCACCTCCCTATGTCATAGGAAAACTTCCTCGACCCATGTTGAGTGAAGCTATGCCAAAACAATAACCCCTACATAGATGACTGCACAATGTGGCTCCCACCCACTAACTACTCTGCAGATTATATTTAGCACCCATTAACATCAAATTTAGCAAAAACGTGATGAATTAGCTCAACCTGCATAGTCTACATTTGAGCTTAGTCATGTCTCTATTGCGACTTAAGTATGTATCACCAATATCACCTCCCCATATGGGCCATCGTGCCCATGACTAAAGGCATATACAACAGGCCTGAGCAACATTTGAGCTTAGTCATGTCTCTATTGCGGCTTCAGTATGTATCGCCAATATCACCTCCCCATATGGGCTATCGTGCCCATGACTAAAGGCATATACAACAGCCATGAGCAGCGCAACTCAGACACCAAACTTTCCTAAAAGACACTAGTCAAGCCTCCATCTATTGCATGTGATATGATGAGGGGGCAAGCCCAATTTTGTCGACACATGGTCCAGTAATAGACATTATATCTTATTGAACAATATCTGCTTTAGAGGTGGGGGCCCATCTTTCCTAACTGTTACTTCAATCAACTACTCATCCCTTTGTATATGACCAATCCATGACTCCTACTACAAGCAACCATATGAGCCTATAAATGCAGGACCATACCTATTGATTCTTCTTCTTTCTTTTTCCTTTTTTTTTTTTGGTTTTTTTTTTTAAATATATCAGTACCTTACCTTTTAATGACTGATCTCTAAGAACGTGTTATTATTCAAAAAGATGCATAACATGGCTTGAATGACTAATGTCTCGTCATACTTACATGATGGTCTTTCGTGGAAATTCAATGTGATATGAGGGGAGTGGAATGCGGACACAGTAAATATATTGTATGCTGGTGGTGTATGGTATAGCTACAAAGATATCCACCTTCCATTCCCAATGATGGATAAGGGATTCATCATAATGTTGGTGACTGTCATCATCGCAATTTACAGTTAATCTCCACCATCCATCATCAGTACCGAGAGGTGGTTATCCCTGTGCATACCGTACAGTGTCAAGTGCTCGGGTATGGTTTGTTCTTCCATATGAAAGAGGGCCAACTCAAAGAACCAGATAATGAAGAATTGTGGTGTTTTGTGCCAGTTATAATTACTTGTTGCTACATGCAATAATCACACTTACCCCACATACACACACACAAACAATCACATACAATATCCATCGTACATGCCATTAAAAGGCCCCCCAAAAACGAGCAGCTTTGTGCTCGTTCTTCAAAAATATAAGCCTCCAAAACAACCATACGCAAAACAGAAAAATACCAAATTTAGCCAATGAACCCCAAATTCCAGTGTCCAGAATCCATGTAATTCAATAATGGCACCATCACTGAGCAGAGCAAACACAAACCCCTATAGAAAAATCACTACCTAATGCAACCAATTTCCAATGTCAAAAAGGCATGCATTCATTTGATCTTCTGGAAAAAAAAAAAAACCCTGAATTTTCATTGAACTAGAACTTGATTTTCCCAGAAAAGAAGTCCAAAATTTTATTTCAATCCGATGAAGCATACAAAGCCAGAGAACCCTGTGAATAAATAAACAAAACATATACAAATAAAATAAAAATGAGAGACGAAACTTACAAGAGGGAGACTGCACCATTGATCAAGCTTCTTAGAACAGAGACTCAGATGAAAAGCATTATTCCCGTCAAATAAGCCACAGATATCCAGCGTTTGTTTAACCTAATGATTCAGAAATTAGGACTAGAACAGTAAATATGGGGTTTGTAATGCTAGTTCAAACCCAAATTCTTGTCCCGCGAGACGTGAATTCATATGGAGGAACCCTAAATCTGGTAAAAATGTTCCCTTTCTCACCGTTTTGAACTTTTTTACTAAAGCCGCGAAGAGGGAATAAATAAATTGAAAGGAAATAACGCCTTTTTGGGGATGATCTTTCGGACTATTTGATCTATCATCATCATTTTAAACTATTTTCAATTAATTGGGATCGGTATTTTGATACTAATTTAAAATATTATTTTAAAAAAAACATAAGAAGAAGACACAGAGGGAGACTTTATTTTGAAAAAGCCTAGGTCTTGTAGAAACTTCATCCGACTCATGTTACTATGAAACTGATTGATTGAAAGGATGCGCTTTCGGTGGCACCTGGGCTCTATGAAAATAAAGTTTCTTTTTTTTTAAATAATATTTTAAATTAATATCAATTAATTGGAAATAGAGCAAAATGAGATTCAGCCAATTCCAATTAATAGTATAAAATGATGAAGTTTCTATAAGACCTAGGCTTTATGAAAACAAAATGCACCTCACTTCAAATTCCCGTCTCAAAAGTATTTTTGGTATTAAAAATCTCAATAATGGCTCTAAAATCAATTGCCGGCACCAATAATAAAATTCGAAACTCAAATAATATTATAGATGTTGCAGATATGTGGACATTTCTTTTCAGGGAAAAATAGATGGTCTAGATGATTTCTTGCAACATACATTATTTTTAAATCTAAAATCATAAAACTTTTCATAACCATAATGTTCAAGTCAAGATGATGGATTTAAATGTTTTCCAACGCTTCAATTACTTTCGATGAGTTATAAGATGAGGCTTTATTTATTCGGACAGGGTGCAATCCTATTAAGACTTAACTTGTTTCGATAAGGCTGCATCCCGTTATAAGATGAGGCTTTACTTCCTATCAATACTTCACTTGTTTTTGATAAGGCTGCATCCCTATCGAACCATTTTCCTAATGAGAAGGGCTCGAGTGCTATTTGTTAGGGAACAGTACGCTCGCCTCCTTTTGGTAGACTTTATCCCGCCCTCGAGTCTGTAAAAAACTGGTGAATCCTCCTAACTTTTAATAATAGGATATTGAATCCCTCCCTTATATTTCTACTATCAAAATAATGTCATGGTGAAGCTTTCTATACCATGAAGTTTGGGAGCAAAAATTTATTAAAATACATTTTTTAACATTTTACACATTTATAAGTGCTTTCCACTCATGGTTGTGGGTGTTTTCATGGGTATTTTAAAATAAAACTAAAAGACATGGACAAATTGTTAACAGCCCATCTTTCATGTTCATGGGTACTTTGATAAATCTATCATGAAATAATAGTTGACTCCGATTTTCTTAAAGGCATGGAATTATAATCCACCAAATGGCATACAAGCATTCATCAGAAATGGCATACATATATATTGGAATCATCTACAAATAAGCCATTTATTTTTTTATTCATGGAGATCACAATCATTTTTTCACACTCATTAGATATCAAATTGGATGGTTTGGGGGTGTGATTCACGAAGTATGAGAATTATTTTAAAACATTTTGTCTATTTAATGGCACCTATACAACCACCCATTTTAAAATTTAATAGATAAGAATAATTGTGACCTCCATTTACATAAGATAAATGGTGTATTTATAGACAATCCCTTACTTTTCCAAGTTTTTTTTTTACATAATATCAAACAGTTTATTTAATTTTAATTATCCAAATGGGACTTATAAACGTGCAAATTTTGGGTCCAGCGATCCCATCCGGCTCAAAACGAGTTTTTCTACAACAGTAACATATAGATTTCATTCATCAGATTTTCAAGCTCAAAATGGCTTGTGCTACAGTATACACCCAATGGACTATACGGTATTTTCCTTATATCAACTACTTCTTGAAAACATACTATATTTTCCTGACTACTATTTTTCCTATATCAGTCACTTCTTGAAAACAATACGTATTTCCGTAATTGAATGTCTTTATCGTTTCTTGTCTTCTTTTCCATGAAGTTTTGTTGCTTCTTGTACTGCACATGGGATATGCGCTTTCACAATTAGCATGTGAGTTTTAATGGTCCGCCACACGCCTGCTACATATGGGCAGCAAGCAAATTTCGTACGGAACATGAATTTGTGTTGAAGTTTTATCCCTACTTTTTGCACTTGGAATTTTTTGGATGGTGAGGGTAGTCAAATTTGTAGGCTGCCACTCAGCACGTTTTTCTTTTGTAGGATAAGATGAGAAGCAGTACGTCATGCATTTGGGATTCAAGCAGCGTAATCTAGGTGGCAATGTGTCGGGTCGGGTCGGGTCATGACCGACAAATTAAAATACTGATGTATTTAAATATGTTTCATATATTAGGACTTGAAAAATATTACTGGACTCGATCGTTCGGGCCTAGACCAAACGGGAGCCGAATGGTATTCGTTTGGGTCCAATATTTCAACCGGGACCCGACCTGTGGGCTCAAATTTTTTGACTTGGATCGGGTCTACCCCGTGGGTCCCGGGTCTCGAGGAAGGAAAGTAACTGTTCCCATGAAAAAATAGGAGCAACTTTGGAATATGAACAATAGTTTGTCTCCCACAAGTCATGGATGTTGAATATGAATACCTAAGACCATACTTATGATTAGGGTAGTATATTTCTCCAGTATAACAAGGTATGGTATTTGGGTACTCATACCTACTAACCCCTTTTTACATGGGGTCATGGATAGTCGTTATGAGTACCCTAAGCATGATTATACCAATCACAAATATTTACTTGTATGATTATACCAATCACAAATGTTTCCTGTTGCCGCATATTGAAGACCCACTGCTAAAATTTATCGACGGATTGGGGGTTCGAGTTGTTGTGCTTTTAAACCCCGTTTGTTCGGATTCCTAAACACATCTAAAGGTAGTCGTGTAACACACAAGTGTGGAAATTATTCCACGAGAAATTAGTCTACATCCATATTTGAATCTTGCTTGTAAAATGTTCAATCTCACATAAAAAATGAAGTATCATAAGTCAAATTTAATATCAATCATAATACAATCTTCAATGAATCCAAACTCACGCTTGAAGCTGCAAGGCACAAGGACAGGTATATATGATTGGATGTTAGGCTTGAGTAAAAAAATAAAAAAAAGATTCGGGCCCTTATTTTTTTGACAATAATAGAGTCAAAAACTTCATCATAAGATTCATTGGTACTACCACCAAGGCCTCACGACAAGTAGAAACGTAACAGATACACACATTACATGTAGTCCAACACCCAATGACAAGTATACACATGATTGGATCTCGGGTACGAGTATTAAATAATACATACAAGCTGGTGTATAAGTTTACGGTACACTGCAGTACGAGTGTTATAATATTTCTAATACATGGCACACCGTCCAGTAGGTAACATGAGTGTTATCATAATTGTTTTTTTATTTTTTTGGCCAAAGCCCATTCTTTGAAATTAAAATTAAGTGAAGCAACTGTTCATTGATATGATTTAATGGCGTCAGCATTAATTTTTGAAGGGTGAGGTTTGCACAAGGTTGCAATTATAAACAATCATAGTAAGTAAAGATGAAGTTTTGGTGTCACGAATTTTAGCATGGCCCGAGAATCTATTTTTATATCTAATTATAATTTTTAAATTCTATAAATGGTTAAAATCAAGCAGATCTATAAAACCAAGTGTACTATTTTGGGACTTGAAATCTTTATTTTTTTATATATCCATACATCTCGATATCGAGATGATTAAATGATTTTTCAATGTCAAAATAGTGGTTTCCAATGTACTTTTGAGGTGCACTTTAATTCTACGATTTAATTTGTCAACCTTATATATACTTTTTTTGTATACTTTTAAAGATTCTAAAGATGTAGTGTACTGTTTACATTAAGGGATGGTACTATGATATTATTTCTCTTTGTTATTAGGCGGTCACAATTCCTCCTGCCTATTAGATGTCAATTTGGATGGCTTTAGGCATGTCATACAGCTCGAGAATTGTTCTTTTGAATTTTGAGTATAGCTAATAACACATCTACAACCATCCGATTTGAAATATGATGAATAAGAGTGCTTGCGAGCTCCTTGTCTTAAAAGTATATTGTCTTTTTGTATACCATTCCTTGCATTAATGTATTCAAAATTCGAGAAATTTATCAAAATACACACAATAGATGAACTATTCCAACTCAAGCGCATGTATTCCTTCACAAGCATTATGAAAATAAATAAAACATTATAGTTAAAATGTTAAATTGCTCATAACTTATGAGTAATTTCATGAAGGAAATAGTTTATGCAATTGCAACTTTATACTATAGAGATAAGGTGCACTTTATAATTGAGTAGAAAGGAGTTTTCAAAGTTGAAAAACCTTCTTATTGAACATCTCAATCTCAATATATATATATATAAATAAAGAAAAAATTATTTTAAAATCCTCAAAATAGTACATCCCATAATAAATTATTTAGATTGTCTATTTACAAGATTTCCAAGTGCTTACAAATCTACTTATTCTTCACTATTTTTAGAATCTTAAAGTTCATAATTAAAGTTAAACTTGGATTTTCAAGGCATTGTAAACTTATAGCGCCGAAACTACATCTTACAACAAAATTTAAAGATGTACCTCATTTATATATGGTATAAGGTAGCACCTTATATTATACAGCTAAGGCGCACCTCTAAATTTGTTTTGAATATGTAATTCCGATGTTGAAATTTTTATGATGACTTGAAAGTCCATATTCAACCCTACTTGTGAAGTTTAACATTTACAAAATGATGCAAATCGAACAGAACGAGAACTTGAAAATCTTGAAATGAAACATTCTTATAATTATTTTTTTCCTCTGCATATGTCTAGAGGTAGAGATGAATAATTAGAACGTTTTTCAACTTGGAAACGCTCATTTAGTGAAGCTTCTACTTTACACGGTTGTAACCTTGATAAATTTCCCTTAAGAAAGTTTTACGAAAAAAGATGTATTTCTAGTAATTTTATATCTTTGCACCGCGCTCATTCGTTTTATTACCTATTTCGCGCGCGCGCACATGAACCCTCGCGCTCCGTCAAATGGACTTATGGACCCACGTTACTCTCTCTCTCTCTCTCTCTCTCTCTCTCTCTCTCTCTGCGTCACTCTCTTTTATTTGATGGAATAATCGGGCCCTCTCTCTCTCTTAATTCGATGGAATGTCCTGGTTTCTATCTTTC